CTGAACCAAAATGGTCATCTCCATGGTTTGAACCAGTTTGACTAACCAAGGCATCTTTCTTCAAAAATGAACTTTTCACAGATTTCTTTACGAAATACTGAACAACCTAATGGTTTACATGTAATCATAAGCAAATAACTTTAGAGTTCTTGTGATTGCTTTTTACCAACCATGCACCATACGGTACTGGACGAGAGATAAGAAAGCAATTTGATTGGGTTTGGTGTTTATACATGATTGGGGGATGAATTAGATATTTTTGAAACAAAATGGCCACCTCCATGGTTTGAACCAATTTGACTAACCAAGGCATCTTTCTTCAAAAATGAACTTTTCACAGATTTCTTTACGAAATACTGAACAACCTAATGGTTTACATGTAATCATAAGCAAATAACTTTAGAGTTCTTGTGATTGCTTTTTACCAACCATGCACCATACGGTACTGGACGAGAGATAAGAAAGCAATTTGATTGGGTTTGGTGTTTATACATGATTGGAGGATGAATTAGATATTTTTGAAACAAAATGGCCACCTCCATGGTTTGAACCAATTTGACTAACCAAGGCATCTTTCTTCAATAATGAACTTTTCACAGATTTCTTTACGAAATACTGAACAACCTAATGGTTTACATGTAATCATAAGCAAATAACTTTAGAGTTCTTGTGATTGCTTTTTACCAACCAGGCACCATACGGTACTGGAAGAGAGATAAGAAAGCAATTTAATAATGATTTCTTTGGGTTTGGTGTTTATACATGATTGGAGGATGAATTAGATGTTTTTGAACCGAAATTGTCACCTCCATGATTTGAACCAATTTGACTAACCCAGGCATCTTTCTTCAAAAATGAACTTTTTGCAGATTTCGTTACGAAATACTGAACAACCTAATGGTTTACATGTAATCATAAGCAAATAACTTTAGAGTTCTTGTGATTGCTTTTTACCAACCAGGCACCATACGGTACTGGAAGAGAGATAAGAAAGCAATTTGATAATGATTTCTTTGGGTTTGGTGTTTATACATGATTGGAGGATGAATTAGATGTTTTTGAACCAAAATGGCCACCTCCATGGTTTGAACCAATTTGACTAACCAAGGCATCTTTCTTCAAAAATGAACTTTTTACAGATTTCTTTACGAAATACTGAACAACCTAATGGTTTACATGTAATCATAAGCAAATAACTTTAGAGTCCTTGTGATTGCTTTTTACCAACCAGGCACCATACGGTACTGGACGAGAGATAAGAAAGCAATTTAATAATGATTTCTTTGGGTTTGGTGTTTATACATGATTGGAGGATGAATTAGATGTTTTTGAACCAAAATGGTCACCTCCATGATTTGAACCAGTTTGACTAACCAAGGCATCTTTCTTCAAAAATGAACTTTTCACAGATTTCTTTACGAAATACTGAACAACCTAATGGTTTACATGTAATCATAAGCAAATAACTTTAGAGTTCTTGTGATTGCTTTTTACCAACCATGCACCATACGGTACTGGACGAGAGATAAGAAAGCAATTTGATTGGGTTTGGTGTTTATACATGATTGGAGGATGAATTAGATATTTTTTAAACAAAATGGCCACCTCCATGGTTTGAACCAATTTGACTAACCAAGGCATCTTTCTTCAAAAATGAACTTTTCACAGATTTCTTTACGAAATACTGAACAACCTAATGGTTTACATGTAATCATAAGCAAATAACTTTAGAGTTCTTATGATTGCTTTTTACCAACCATGCGCCATACGGTACTGGAAAAGAGATAAGAAAGCAATTTGATAATGATTTCTTTGGGTTTGGTGTTTAATTGTTTATACATGATTGTAGGATGAATACTTATGCATAATCAATTTTGAAGCATTTCAGTTAATGGCAAAAATTTATTACATTAATTATAATGGCAATTGTGCTTTGAAAGTGAGTTTGAATTGGGTCCTTTAATTCAAAGATGTAGACTTATGAACCACTATCAGCTGTTAGAAAAATAAAAAAATCATTTCCAACGGGAACTCTTTCCTTCAATAAATAGGTAATCGTTTTAATTTATCATCGATGTAAAATAGAGTACCTATTACACTAGGTATTATATAATTAAATGTTATAATATTTTCAAGCCCCGGGTGCCAAATAATATTAACGCTTTATCGAAGAAAGAATACGCGAAGGAATCCCACATGAAGGCTAACAACTTGTTAAGTATTCGCAAAAGATAACGAAATCTATTTTTAGAACAAGTACATTTGACAACACCGCATGATCTCTACTTAATACACCAATGTCATTTTATACACTATATGATCTCTACTTAAGTGTATTTATTTTTTGATCTCATCCTAACTGCTTTTTATATGGATAATTTTAATTGTATGAATTTCTTTCCCCTCTATAGGGGTAATGATAGAAGAACATATTTCATGTCATTGGCAACCCATTACACACGCATATTTTTAACTTTAAAGGGGGATCTCAGGTTATCCTACTATTATCCGGATCTCGACTTATATCAATAATAGATATATATATATATATATATATAATTTTTATCACATAATATGTCATGACTCGCTGAACCAAATGCTTTAGCAAGATCTAAGAAATAAGAATACTGCTGGACATTACTCAGAGTTATCTCAAGAGGTACGTTATAATTTTTTTAACAAGGTCAGTCGGTGCATCTTCAAATGATGTATTTTTCATAAATCCGTATTGTGATTCTGTAAGAAAACAAATCTTTGTAAGAAAGAAAGTGATTGGACACCACGGAAAAGTTATTGTTACAGAAGATATGTTATCTTTGTAAGTTCCCGAGCTACCGACACGAGAAGCTAATGATTCGGGAACGGATACGAAGTATGTAGTCATCAAAAAGCTCCACTATTTCACTCATGTTCACTTTGTATCCATTCTCGTCAACTATTTATTTTATAGGGTGTTTTGATTTGTATAGATTAGCTGCCTTTTTAGTCTCTTCTCATAGTTCAGTTATATTTTGAGTATGAATATAAACATTATTTTGAAAATACTTCATTTTTTGAAATTTTTTTATTAAATTACTTTATTTCTTTGTGTTTGCCGAGACAGGTATGTTCAAATAGGTATTTTTTAAGAAGACTTTGAATAAGTCTTGTTTTATCAGAATTTCTTGTAATAATTCATCTATTTATTGCCCATTCTTTCTTCTTTTTAATTTTTGTGTTTCTAATGATAGTAGTAGAAACAAACATTGTTTTACAGGCGTTTATGAAATGAACGTACATAAAATTTTATGTACGTTTATTTCAGCTAATGTCTGATGATTCACCTTACCTTCGACTTCGAACTTGTAATTCCTTTGCCTTTCCTTCTAAATTTCCGAGTGGAAGTTTTGCCGAAAATCCTTCCATTTTGAACCATCATTAATATTTTCGAGTAACTTTTGCCCAAAATTTGATTGTTATCCTTTAAATATGATATTAATCCAGGCACGATACAATGACCACGAGGCGAAAAATTATTTCATCTCATTGTCAGCTTTAAGTCTTTATTGAAAGTGCTCGCGGAATAATCGCCTTAAAACCTCTCATAGGAAATGAGATTGCTTTGGGAAAAGTTTCATTGGCGAGCATATTACGAAATATTTTCTTATGCTAAATACCTAATACATATGCAAATTTATTAAAGTACCTACAAGAACAATTTAGTTCTAAAAGGGTAGGTAGTTGTTGAACGTTTTAACGACCTATCGAAATGTCTATGACCATAACCAACAGTACAAATTTCATTTACCTTTCTGATTACTTTTCAACTTCACGCAAGGCTTTTGATGAAAATTTCAGCGTGAAAATTGATATTCTGGAACGTTTTTCTCCACATTTATTTTTTTAAAAGGGCGGTTACTAATTCTGAATTTCGATTGCTTTATACGATTTTTTAAATAAATTGTTTTGTGTATAGCTTTCTCGTTTAATTGCGAAGCAATTTACCGAACTTGGCGGTACTATAGTTAATATTCATACGAATTAATTACCTCTGTGACAGTGACGCCATGAGAATTTGATGTAATAAGTACGTTACAGCAATATCAAAATGACATACATTTATAAATTCAATGGTTAAACTTTGGATAATACTCTTCCAAAGAATTTTAGTTAGGATTTAATTGGTAAAAAAACAAAAAAGTCACGAAGTCGTTACATTCTCGAAAGTATCACGAGAGCTTTACTTTTTAATAAAAAAAAAACATTTCATAAAATGCAATTAAAAGCGTAGATATCTCTATTGAGTTAATTTGATTTTCCCTCTTCATAAATTAAAGGTACTTTACCGTGCAAAATCTACTAACAAATTCCTTTGTATTATTATATGAACCCAAGTAGTTTTATTATTTAGCTACCTACGGAACGAACAAAGCCCCTTTTTCCAGTTTGGCGAATACATGTGATGTAAAAGCATCCCTACATTTCAAATATTAATTAATTTAATACTTTTTCTTTGCGTTTTCACCTATGTTAACTGTCATTGCACATAATAGACAGAAACTACAGCATGAAATTTACAAATAGAAGAAATTGTCACGTACAAAAGATAGGTAAAAGTAGTAAAAACCTAAGATAATATTATTCCGTCTTTTATGTTTATTTACAAAACATTTTAATAACGTTTTGAAATCCTCTTTGTGATATGATCGCAATTCACAAAAGCTTATTTTTTCCATTGAAAAGAGCTGAACAAAAAGGAATTTGATTATGTTTGCCAGGCATATGTCAAAGTTTCAAGTTTCATTTAAATAACAGCGTGATATTATACTACACATAGAAGTAGGACGAATATTTCTTACTTTAGAGTATGATCTTCAGTTTACTAATTAATTTAGCGTCATCTTTTGATCATGTCTCGGTTTGTAATGTCCCATTTAGAATTTTTAATGAGTAAGCCGAAAGATTTTCTTTTAGTAAAATTTCTACAGCAAATACTATAAATGATGTTTTTTACAGCATGCTGGGTTCGTTCTCCGGATGGGAAGTTCGACATTACCTTGATGATTCCTAGAATGTGCGTCACTCTGCTTTTCTCTCGAAGAGTCTTGGAACACCGTACCTAAGCTGTGGCGGAACGACGCCGTACCAACAAAAAATGCGATTTTTGTTAGTGCAAATATTTTACTACGTGCTTGTCACTGAATATATTCAAGGTAAGTATTGCACATAGAAATTTAACGCGGAATTAGTCCATTTGGGTGGCTACCCCTACTAACACAATTGGAAAACCTGTTAATATGTTATTCTGTACTGACATTGTATACAGGGTGGCCATTTGAAAACGAAACAGAGCCTATTTTGGGGACCTCAAAACATTTACGAAAAAATCCTCGGACCCGTCAATTTTTGATTCAAGGGGGAACCATTTTTTTGCTAGCTTCGCCCCCCTGGTGCCAAATCCATAGCGGGGGTGGCAAGCGCCCCCAAAATTTTAAATCGAATGGGGAGTCGAGTGATACCTTATTTGGAAGGTATTTTTATGTGGTAACCCTTAAGTTTTAAATCAAGTAAATGTTGAAAATGTTGACCTTCGACTTCCATAGAATAATACAGGTTTTGTTCAAACATTTTCCGTACATTTTGAAAAACTTATGGGGTAATTTGACGACATTCGTCAATTATTTTTTGTCGCAAGTTGTCTAACGATGTTGGCTGACTAGCATAAATTTTAGTTTTTAAATGGCCCCATAAGAAAAATCTAACGCACTTAAGTCCGGGGAACGAGGATGCCATTCAATAGCACCTTTTCTTCCAATCCATTGTCCTGGAAACGTTTGGTCCAAATATTGACGAACCCTTGCAGCATAGTGGGGTGGCACACCATCTTGCTGAAATACTAGACTATTTCCAAGTAGGTAGTCGTTGTTATTTTCTAGTATCTCCACTAATGCTGGACGAATCGTCTTTTCTAATAACTCCAGGTACATCTCTCCTGTTAAAGTTCCAGGTAAAAAGAAGGAGCCTACGATACGGTTACCAAAAATGGCAGCCCAAACATACGATGGACCTGTCGATTCTGGTGTTGTCGATTAAAGAGCTGGGCAGTTCTATTAGCATTTTCATTGTTTGCAAAAAAAGATAAATTATTTCAGCAAGTGAATAAACCATTATTTATTATCCCTCTCTCGTTCTGACAACAGTAATTCACAATCACTATTAAACTTCAAAATGATGCTATAGTAATGCTCTCAACAATAACCAAGATTTGCGTTGCAGAAAAGGCATATGTACTTACGAGTATTAAAAAGAAACAAAAACAACAACAAAAAGTACGGCTCAAAATGTAGGAGAACAACATTTTTTGTATTTACTGTTGTTTTTATTTTTGTTATTTAACTAATTCATTTACACGAATATTTTTTCCTAAGAAAATGTTGACACATTTATTAGCCCCTGTATCGGCTAGGCAAATTAGTAGCGATTTAAAACTTAAGGGTTATAATCCACATAAAAATACCTTCAAAATCAGGTATCACTCGACCACCCATTCGATTTAAAAGTTTTTTTTAGAATCCGTGAGGTAGGGTGCATTTGGGGGGGGGGTTACGGTGAATACTGGATCTTAAAGAGAAATTCCTCACTTAATTAGTAGACGTCATATGAGAAAAAGCGTTGATTATTTTAATAAACAAGGGAGGAAGGGGGATTAATTTGTAAGTGCAGGCGTTGCCAGTGTGCCCAATCATCATATAACCAAATGGTGATAGCGGACACTTTTTCTTAAAGCGGAAATTAAAGAATACGAATTTTATCGATTATTTAACCGCATTTGTTTTAGAACAAATGAACAAAAGAGCATCAGAAAGCAAATTTTTTTAAATAGAACGACCACTCTTTCTGTAATATTCTTAAATAGCTTAAAATTCTCTTCACAAATGATATCAAATAATATGTTATAATTACCTTAGAAATTAAAGCTACAGCAATGTGTTTAGAACCAATCGCAGTAGCTGCGTAAATTTAAACAAAAACATAAAATTTACAACAGGAAGCGAAGAAAACAAATGAAAAGCAGTTAGACGAATAATTATTATATCTACCTTAAAACAAATTTAAACACATTACACTTACTTCCTATTACACATTACATTACACCACTTAACAGATCATTTGTGTAATTATTATTTTGTTACATAAATTATATTGTTCACTAAATTGACTTTGTGACAGACATGACAAGTGGAAAACTCTCTTTTGTTTTTGTTTAAATTTCCACAGTTACTGCGATCAGTTTTAAAAACATTACTGCAGCTTTAATTGCTAAGGTATCATTATAACGTATTTGATATCATTGTAAAGAGAATTTCAAGCTCTTTAAGAATATCACAGAAAAAGTTCTATTTAAAAAAATTCATTTGTTTGCTGATGCTCTTTTGTTTTTATATCGCTTGTTTTTTTTAAATATGTAGCCTTATCACAAATTGACATCAATCACACTGTAGAGAGCAGGACAATTAGAAAGTCGAGTTTATCAACCGACAGTTTCCTACAGGCATTCAGAAAATTCATTAGTAGAAGACCACGAATTGTGCACAGTGGAACCGACAACGCTTTTAAAGCAATTAATTGGAAGAAAGTTCAATAATATCCAATCTATCACTTGGAAATCCTCGTACTGGAGCATGGTAGGGATGCGAATGTCTTATGATCTCAAAAGCTTTGATATATGTGTCTGAAAATGTGTAAAAAATAATACCACACCGAATACGTTTTTGAAAGATATAAGATAATTAAAAACTAATCTAAAAAACGTTTAACTTACTTAACTCCCTAACAAACACCCTGTATAATTCCAATTCTTGATCTTTTAATGACTGACTTAAAAAATCGTTTTAGTGAAAAAAAATTATCAAATTTAAACTTAAATGATACAGATAACCCGTCGTTAGCACAACTTTTGGGTGAAGTGCAGCTATACACTGTGTCCCAGATGAGATGGGGGTTTCAGAAACCATACAAGATGGTCAAATTAGAGGCAAGAAATTTGTTGATTTCGTTTTTATTCTGTTCTGATGTTATTTGGGCAGATACAAAAAAACCATTATTGTAAATTATTGAGTTTTACAAGAGACGTTGAGACATTTCATTTCGTTTCATTTTTATATGGCCCGTAAAAAGAGTTGATACTATTTTTTCCTACGAATAATACGATGTACGGCACACAAAAGAAAACAAAAACTGTTGGTTTCAACAAGATGGTGTACCTACGCATAATGCCCCAAATCGTGTAAGAATACCTATATTGGACAAATTTCGTGGAAAGTGGAAAAAATTGATTTGCGCCCACAAAAAGAAAGCTCGACTTTACCATTTAGTAATTAGTTATTTGTTCAATATATTATGTATTATGCCAAAAATGTTATATCTTTATATGTATAATAAATATATTTTTTAAATAATTTTCTTTAAAAATTATATGCGCCTCTCCCTAGACCAAATCCTAAATCCGCCTCTGAACAATTCGTACTGTGATGAATCAAACCGTTCAGAATGATGAGGCTAAGGAAGAACCAGAGAGAAAATGCATTTCTAATGAAATCAATGAGCAAGCTGAAAAGGAATACGTTTCAACTACAGGAAGTGGAAGGAAAGTTATCAAGCCAAAGAGATTCCAGTAATAACGACATTTTTTATAACTCGATGAAGACACAATCGCTTTAACCATCAGTTTAGTTGGTCAAGTTTGTCAATAAAAAATTACAACAGAATTTATTCCATAGTCTCTAGAAAACACAGTTATTGGTTTATCCCCTATTTGGTGCACTTACTCAAAAATGCAACTGTAATTAACAATGCCATCGCGGGCTGTACGTGTTAGAAGCAGCTACACATCAAGGAAATGATTCGTATCCATTTGTTTGCAGAACAAGAGATGTATAAACTTTATTCTTTGCACCCAACAACTAATTAGTATGAACGAGTGTGTTTCCCACATGCACGACTTGTCTTTAACAGCGGCAATTACACGAAATGGGTTAAGTTTGAATGCCTCGGAAGGAATTTACTATTCAAGATTCACGCTCCTCTCGCAAGAGTTCCAGAAATGCTTTTGCGGGCAGTTTACAGAAATACTTTCGGTACGCACAAGATATTCGGTTATAGTAACTAACGGGGTGGGAATCGGGATTTTTCCGTCCCTATTAACCTAAAGGAGAAAAATTAGTAAAATTATATTTTTACACAACTCGCCTCGGGAAAATCTAATTTTCGGGCTGATTCAGTTACTCTGACGTTCGCGATATTTTTTCTACGAAAACGAAATGAAATACCTTTTTTTTCTATTCGCGAGATCTTATTAGGGTGCTGGTTGTGGAAAAAATATATTTACCTCCTCTGACGTGTGACGAATGGTATTATCACAGAGTTCGTTTGCTTCGTAAGGAAGAAAAGTCACATTCTTGTTTCGGGTCAATAATTAATAATGCAATAAACTGATTTTGTATTCCTCTTACTTAAGTTTCGCTTGAGCTGTTGTTAAAACTAAGTATGGCGACGCTTTTCAGTGAAATTAAAAAGAGTAAGGCCTTTTGTATAAAAAACGCTTTTATAAAATACAGTTAACATTTCCCACGACAATGACGTCGCCTAACAGTATTTTTGCGCAATTTTACGTGTATATTGTCATGCGTATACGCTACTCGTTCTAATTAAATATTAAAACAACTCAAACGCTACTTTTTATGCAATATAAACGCTAATTGAGGGGATTTACCTAAAATTTTCTTGATAAAGAGGCCTCATTAACAAGAACGAACTTAAATCCGGCAAGTTAAATCTCGTTAAGCGTAACATTAATCTCGTAACGTCTAAGTTAGGTTTAACCCTGATAATTTGATTTGTGTTCAAGCTCAAGCATATCCTTTATAGCGTATAGAAATTGTAATAAAAGAAAGTTGAATCTGATGGATTCCCTTTATTTTCAGCAACCGGTCTGAAGTGGGTGAGGGTGAACGTTCCCCAATACCGTTCTCCTGGAGAATCGGCCCAATTACTTTGCGATTACGACTTGGGCAACGATACACTGTATTCGATCAAATGGTACAAGGACCACGAGGAGTTCTACAGATTTGTCCCGATGGCACGACCGCAGGCGACTAGTTACAAGATGGAAGGCATCTTCGTAGATGTAAGTGCTCAAGGGAGTCACGTCGTTCTGTCAATCTCTAATTTACGTAGAAATATATTCGGCGGAATTTTGCTATTTCTGACTTTTTGCATTTTGTGTTTCCATAAATTGGTTCAATATATCACAGACGCGAGCGCAACTCTTGAATTTTAACTAAAGCGTATAGCCGTCGGGGTTTCTCCCTTTTCCCGTATTATACATACCGGCAGTTGCAAAATATACTCAGTAATATGGATATGTAGGTGAAATCAAAACCCAAAGCGTTCAAGAACTTTTGGTCTACGCGAGCACGTATTTTACGGAAGATCGATTACGAAGATAGGGAAATACTTTATAACCGCGTTTATGCTTTCACTTTGTCCTCGCTAGCGAAACTACCTACTCGAGGAAAATATTCAACAAGCTACCGTTGAAGTAGAATAATCGCCTGAAATAGGATGCATAAAATTTTTAAGCAATTTCATTTTGTATTGAGTAGGTAGCATATCAAAGTTTACTGTGGGTAATAAACTTGTAGATTACGTATTGAGTTGACGTAAATCGATTCCGTTTCCTTCATATCCAAGTCACATTTTAGCGATCAGAGCAAATTATCACTGAGCGAATGGCAAAAATATATACACCGAATTCGAAGTCTGTGCACGGCATCTCAAGCACTCAATTCTGCTACAATTTCATCTCTTTGGTATGTATAAAATAATTTCAAGCAGACATAAGATCCGGCTCGTATTTCACGAATTTACTTACGACATTTCTCGAGTTGTAAGGTAATAAAGGATGCACTTTGACTTAATTATTTGCATCCCCTAATGAAATATTGAGCAGCTCACAGCAGATGTCCATTCTTGTTACAGATGGGGTTATCCGATCGAAAAAAGGTCGTTTTACGAACGGTGAATTTAAAAAGCAGCGGATTGTATCGATGCGAGGTGTCCGCGGAAGCGCCATCTTTTTCTTCGGCCCAAAGCGAAGCGCGAATGGAAGTCGTATGTAAGTGCCAAAATCATTAATTGTTATTTTTCGACACTCCCCTCAAACAATTTCACTCCGACAAATTTGTTAGCACATAATTTAGAACGGCGGCGTATTTACATTCGCATCAATTTCGCTCTATTTACCTACGTCGAGGAAATAGCGTATTGTTGCAGCGCCGGATTTAAACCAAAATCGTTTCAATGAAAAAGCAACCGACCCTCAATACATTGAGATAAACTCGATGACTTTGGGGAGTTCCACAAAAAGAATCATTAGGGATAAAATTGGAAAAGTAAATGACCGAGTTAATGTGGAGTGTATACGTATCGAGTTTCTCTCTATAAAATGATATGTTTATTGCTTTGCGAACGTGGATATAGAGAAAGACAGTAATTTCGCAATACAATTTTCCTCAAATATGTGTTTTACGGTCTGTCTTGCATTTAAAAATGTTTACGGTAGCTTTGGGAGTAAACCCTGCGCCTTCGGCTGTCAACAACTCCGAAATGTAAACAGAAATTTGCTAGAATTATTCTCGAGCGATAAAATTACTAAATTCAAACCGGAAATAGACTATAAAATATGCATTCAAAGCAAAGGTGGTGTAATTAACGTTATTGAAGGATATGAAAGGTACTCCATCTTACAGATTTCTATATAAAATAATATAAACCTCGCTTTACATTCTTTTTATTGGTCCTTCAAGTTGTGATATGCCAGACTTTTACCGCTAAATTTGCTTTAAATATTGACGGTTGTTATTTTTTATACAGGGGTGAAAATTTTTGCCTATACCTTGCGTAGGAGACGCCACTGGAAAGAGTATTCTTCAAGCGGTTTTCAAAAATATCACTCGTTGCTAGCCTGGTGCTTTGTTTTGGGGACGGGGAATCAGTGATCTCTCGGGAAGAAAACGTAGGAAGATCGACACTTCTTGATTTTGATGTTTCGTTTCATCATCCCCTTTATTTTTTTATATGACCTACAAAAAAGAGCATACTGTATTGAATACCATTTTTTATTACGAATACAACGATAGGTATGTACGGTACTAAAAGCTCTGTTGGTTTCAACAGCCTGGTGCACCCGCAACACCATAATCGGGCTATTAGGGCATTGTGCGCGAGTGCACCATCCTGTTGAAAGTATACCGGGTGGGGACTTGAACAACGCACCATAGCAATTTCAATAGTAATTTTTTCATTTCTGATTATTGGCTTCCCTAGTTATTTTAGAGATAAAGTATATTTAGGTTTGTTGCATACTAGTATAGGTTTGAATTTTTTGCACTTTGAAACTGGCCATGGCAGTTTGAGATCAAACAAAGCTAACTAATGCCAAATGCAGGCGCTTTTGTTTGATTTCATAATTTATTCCATGGCATTATCGACTTTATAAACGCGACAGTTTTTAATTTTTACGGATTTGTAATTTTTTTCTCTACAAAAAACCTAAATAGACTTTATTTCTAAAATAATTAGGGAAGCCAATAATCGGAAATTAAAAAATTACCATTGAAATTGCTGTGGTGCGTTCGTCAAGTCACCACCCCGTATAGATGGCAGTTGTCATATACAGGGTGAGTTTTTTTTTTTCATTTTAAAGCATTAGGATCTTGGAAACCGTAAGAGATAGAGATTCGGTTAAATGAAGAAAGAGTTGACGTTTTAAGAGCTTATTCAAGATATGCTTTTGTTTTTTGAAAAAAATTCACAGTTTACTAGATATGGGCGAAAAACGGATTTAATGATTTTTCTTTTAAATGCTGTAGAAACGTTAGTATTAGAAATACAGTGTTTCCAAATCTAACCCATCATACATAACTTGAAATTCATTTGGTAGAAAATAACGTTGGCCTGTCCAATTTTTGTCGTAAATGAAACGTCCAATATCTCACTAGATATTGTTTTTTCCTGTAGCGCGTTTATTGATTAAAATACGTTTAACAATGCTTATATCGTTAAACAGAGAAAAACTTGTCCTTTTTAAAAATGCCAAAGCCAACTATGACTACCATTTAAAAAAATTAAAGTTTGTGTTATAACTCAACAATTGTAAAATGTAGAAGAAAATTAGTATACTCATCATGTTAAGCATTAAAATGTAAAAACTTTTATTCGTGTCATTTTGTTGTATTTCTAATAATAACGATTCTACAGCAGTTTGAAAAATCACTAAATCTGTTTTTCGCTCATATCTAGTAAACTGTGAATTTTTTTGAAAAAACAAAAGCATTCTAAAATACTCATTCCTCATTTAACCGAACTCGTATGTATTATAATTTCCGAGATCCCAATGCTTAAAATGAAAAAAACTCACCCTGTATATTTCAAATAGACGCGATTCAAATTTTAGTCATGAATTGTCCAAAATAAAACATTAGAATTACCCATAGCTTACCGAGAAAACATATCACCTGGAATCGGGAGGTAAGGAATGCCCTCCAGTAGCACTAGGCGATTACAGGTTTGAATAATCGGTAATCGATTACTTGATTAATGAAATGAATGTGCCTCTGATATTTTAAACATCTGATGTAATTATTTTCATTGTTTTTTGCCTCGAATAGATTGTGTTTTTTTTTTTTTTAATTAATCACAGACTACTTGATTAAAATATAAAAACCGTTGATATAACTGGAATCTTATCTTCAATCTTATTGTATGATAGCTCGTTGAAAAGAGAATTAAAAAATCTATTAAGTAACCTAAAAATCTAATATGGCGCCACTATAAGAAGTTGGTAAATGTTCCTCAAAAATAGCCATCTTGAATTTTTTTTCACATCAATTCTAAATTAAGCGTATAGCAAAGATAGTAACTTTTATATAAAACTTTTTTTATATCGCTTATACTACGATGAATTCATGAAAATGTGTATATAGCTTTCTTTTTAATTAATTTGCCAATTATTTTGCCCAAATCGTAAAATTCCTGCCCCCCCCCCCCTCCAAAAGTTATTTCCTCGCTGAATGCAGTCTGTTAATTGAATTAATTACCAAATTTGAATGCGGTATACAAAACATACGTAGGGTTTTTATAAATTTGGTTAGTTTGAAAAAAAACACATTTAAAATTTATTTCCGCAATCGGTTTACCTCTCTTTTTTCAACACTTTCGATTCGTCGGTAAGCCGCTGGTGCGGATTATCGAAAAAAGCAGTGCCAGTGTTGGACAAGTAAACTTATAGCTGCTAGTTCGCATTTATCATCGGAAAAGCCTTTTGCGTTGTCGTCTCGACCTGCTGAATTATATATCAACCAAACTACCCGGTAAAACTGCTAAAAAGCCAAATAATAAATTTATGAGGTCACAATATCGAAAAACCGTCTGAGAACTTCTCTAATAGTTTAAACGACTTGTTTTGCGGCATTCGAACGTATACCTCAGGAAAAATAATTTACTAACACCCCCTCATTTGCCATTCTTTTGCGATTATACCAAGTGCACTGCGTCAATTATCTTTAATTACATTTGCTGGCAGAATTTTCAAATGTGCGTGATAAAAACTTTTTCGATTCATTTTTTATACCTCATTTCATTCAAAGAACTGACACTTAAATATTGATGAACGAATACTTGATTTTTTTTTCAAGTTTCCTTTATTATTATACGAATCTCCTTTGAACCGACTACTTTTATCTTTCCAAATCTTTTAAAATGCTGGCGCTCAAAAATTCGCGCATTAAAATTCTCTTATAAATCAAACAAATACATATTTCATCCCCCTGAAGTATTTCAATGTTAATTTTACTTTCATATTTCTTGCTTTGGTATCATTTTATGCAAACTTCTGTAATATGTACACAGTTTTACCTTGGTACGAAAATTCCTTTTCTCTACAAGAATGCTGATACGTACCTGCTTATTTTCACTTAAGAAAAACGTGAATTTCTTCGATTTTAATCCATTAGACCATGGGCGATAATAAAACATTGTAAAATTCAATACTTTGAGTATTGAAGTGGTTTCAGTTTTGAACAGCAGCAATAATTGGTTTTCATTTTGGACCATTATTCAAATCCCTTAATGGATTTTGTTGCTCTATTTACACAGGTTGACATATACACAAAATATTCAAATGAACAAGTTGTATAAAAGGGTCCGCTGCACATTGTATGTTTGATTCACAACCGTTCATCATCGAGAGAAAATTGTAATTGTAATGAGAATCTGCATAAAAGCGTAAGTCACATTTTTCTTCTCAAATGATAAATTGGAGTTTTCCTTTCAGTGATGCGCCATTATTCAAATTTAATGGCAGATTAGTGAATAGTGTATAATAAAAATTGAATTTGGAAGGCGCGAATCGCCGAATGGAGCGTTTTCAATTTCATTACCTAACACCTAATAGTTTCTAAATGTTTTCCGTAACTTCATTAGGTCGAAAATTAATAAAAAATGTAAATCGAATCCCCTTTCTACGGCATTCGCCATTTTCAGTTTGAATAATTTCTGAATTTATAAAATCGCCTAACGACAAAACATTATACAAAAGCACGTAATAAATCATTCTGTATGAATAAACCGAAAAGTTATATTTGAATTTCTTTATTGTTTAATTAAAGAATTGCGTCACGCAGGGTGAACCGTTTAAATTAGAATGCCGAAAACATGCCAGGCTTAAACGAAAGATCGGAACGGCGGAGGAGGCATAACGTTTCGGGTTTTATTCTTTTGAAAATGAAAACCGCTCGCGTTTGATAAACAACATAAATCGCGTGATTAAATATAACAATGGGTTAGTAGCCTTACGATGTGTAGTAAAATGAGTGAATTTATCCAATGGTTTTCACCCATGTTGCATGTGCGCTTCTTTTGGCCATCTTTAAATAAATCGACCCGTCGTTTTTTCATATCGCCGGTAAAAGAAGTAGATAGTATTTTGAGTAGCACTTTTTTACGAATAAAACGATGTCCGGCATACACAAAAGAAAATAAAAGTTGGAAACTGTCGGTTTCAACAAGATGGTGTACCTGCGCACAATGCCCTAATCGTGTAAGAATACCTATATTGGACAAATTTCGTGGAAAGTGGAAAAAAATCGATTTGCGCCGACAAAAAAGAAAGAACCATTTAGCCATTTTCTGGTTCTTTTCTTAATTTATGAAGAATTAGTTATTAGCTCAATATCTTATGTATTATGCCCAAAAATGTTCTATTTTTATACGTATAATAAATGTTTTTTTAATATATTCACTTTAAAAATTATATGCGCCCCTCCCTAGACCAAATCCTAAATCCGCCACTGTTTTTTGTTTGTTATTATACAGTGCGTAAATTTTTACTCTGAACATACAAATCTCTTATGTTCAGTTCTCAAATATACAAGTCAATACTTACTTCTTAAGATAAGCAACCGATCCTACCTACGTTCCTCATTTTTAAAGTCTTTGTATTTGTATTTATTTATTTCCAATTCTTATTACATGAGTAATTTAAGAACGTCAGGAAAGTAAAAGCGTAGTGACAAACAGAATCTAAATATGTACAGGGTGGGCCATTACTCTGTGGTGTAGCGGTGGCTTTATTATTATTATTTATTTTATTATTATATTATTTATTATTTATTTATTATTATTTATTATTATTATTTATGGCACATATATAAAATTAAAATAAACGCTATACAACCTAAATATTTCAACAAAGTTGCAATTATACAAGGTGATTTATATCAATGTTGCATTTTTTAAATGGAACCACCTGTATATTATTCGCAATTCGTCGTTTTTTTAAAAGTAGATGTCCAGTAAAAATTGAATATCGCAGTTACAATAAAGCTGAGAAGGCCGTGACTCGGCAGTATCACTAATCATGAAATGTACCTACTAACATACGCTGAACGGCTGTTAAAAGAAATTACTCCTTCAATTTTCAAATTTTCAATCAAAGGTAACTTGATTATTTTTAATGGAACTACTGGAAAAGTTTTTTTCATCGCATCAAATGTAGGATTTTATTACCTTTTTATCTTTTACATACTTTTTGTGATTCAACAATTTCTAATAATTTACCGTGTTTTTCGATTTTCAAAGTCTCTCAGTAATTAGTAGGCCACTAAAAATTATAAACAATTGAAATTATAAAAAATTTACTCCAAATAAATAAAGCAAAAATTCAAAAACCACAAAAATGAAAATAACGTTTTTCGATTTTCAAAGCCTCTCAGTAATTAGTAGGCCGTTAAAAATTATAAACAATTGAAATTATAAAACATTTACTTCGAATAAAACAAAGCAAAAACTCAAAAACCATAAAAATCAAAATAAAAATAAGAGAAAAATAGAAGATGGAAAATCATTCTTTGACACGACGAAGCACAGCTGGCGTTATGGATGCAAAAGCATTACGAATGCGTATTTCATATTCTCTTTTGTTGTTGGGACTTAAGTCCCGTTAACGTATTTCCCCATAAGAAGAAGTGCAGTGCTGTAAAGTCTGTAGAGAATTGTTGATTCAGCCATTCTTTAACGTTTACAGCAAAATGAGGTAATGTTGCAACCACATTTCATCTCCGATGTGCAGCCGAATATTTTGTAGAAGAGCAAAAAATACAGTAATTTAAAATGTATAATAGAGCAGCGTTTAAAATATGTTATTCAAATTCCATTTGTCTAACTAATCAACAATTAACAGCATAATTATAAATGCCAATGAACTGAACTGACAAAAGTTATTTCATTTTATTTTGTTTTATTATTTAATATGGCCTTTCGTGGCTTACTATTCAAATTGATTTATTTAAGCTTACGCATTGGTATAAATGCAAAATTCATTATTTTATCTTATAAAATGAGCTATGACCTTTTTTTTCATTTCAATTGGCGTTGCGTTGATAATCTTTAACGCCCTACTGATTACTGAGAGGCTTTGAAAATCGAAAAACATTGAATCAATTAATCTTTAATCTTTGCTTTGAAGTTTACAATGTATTTCTTATAGCAATAATGACATTTTTAGTACAATCAGAACGCTGAGAAAAAATCCCTGAGAGTTTGTTAAAAGATATTTTTTGATATCTTTAAAAATAAATGAACGTCACTGCAAAATGATATTTTTCCATTTCTTGACCATAACTTCGCTATTTGTGCAGCTACAAGAAATGACGAATAGGATAATTAATCAGCATAACTTTGCCCATTAACCGACTCTGTATCTCTTACGGTGTACGAAATCCTTATAGTGGAAAATGTATTAAAAAATTTTTACGTCAATCAACCGTATTAGTTTTAAATTTTTTGCATAATAAAGACGGAAAATTGGAAAAATAAAACCCCCATCTTTTTCAATAATCTGTGATGCCATGGAATTTTCTAAAACAAAAAGACATCCAGCTATATCAATTTGCAGAAGTTCGAAATGGATTTTATGATCGACTTGGTTACTGTCTTGCAGTTTTGGTGACTTATTCGAACATTTATTGTAAATTGTTATATTAGGAAACCGTTTTTAGTAATTTGGTCTTTCTTTATCTTGAATTCGCTGTTCTAAACATAATAGTTTTTGATAGAATTTCATTTGTTTTATAGCAGACATTCCATGGCATGACGGATATTGGGCCTAGTTTTTGTATTATAAAATTCCATGGCATCACAGATTATTGAAAAAATGGCGGTTTTATTTTTCCAATTTTCCGTCTTTATTATGCAAAAAAACCTTAATACATTTTTGCTCTAAAATAATTTGGGGAGTCAATAATCGCATGTTATGAATTTTACATTGAAATCCCTATGATGCGTTACGCAAGTCACCACCCTGTATACCCCCCTTCTCTCCAAGACCATCGAACCCAGAATCACCATCCTGTGATGATCCTCAATTATTGATATTGTCTCTAATATAAGTTGATAGAACTAATCCTTAATTTAACACTAATTTCGTCTGACAAACCGAGAAACACATCATCTTGATGCAGGAACAAATAATTTTCCAACACACAAACGTTTATGGGGCTTTTTTTCACATTTCGTTCATATTTTATAGACAATATCCCTGAAAATGTATTTTCCAGTTTGATTAATGCATATCCTTTTTCTCGAAATGTATAAGTAAACACATATCGGAACACACAATAAAGGTCGTCTACTTGATTGTCGTCATTTAATAGTGCGATAAGCACAATGCTCACGCAAACTTACCCGAGAAAGAAAACTGGCATTTCCTTTTCTCCTCTTTACAATGGGATAATTAATTATCTGGCCGAACGAAGAATGTAAGAAGCAAAAAAAAAACGATGGACAATGTTTGTTTGAAAGAAACAAATATGTTTTCGTGCGCTTGTAACATTTTGTCAAACGTTGAGAATGACCGATCATTTTATATCGCGTGTCAGGTAAAGCACGCGAAGCTTTGTGGTTTATGCAGGACTCCTCTGGCAATTATAAAATTATCCCATGCATCTACTCCTTTGTCTTCTATCGTAAATTTGAGCTTCATAAAACATTTTCGTAACTGTACCCATTAAGCTTCATCTATTTGGGGAATATTTACTAATTTCAGGAATTCGATTATCTAAGTAAAAGTCAATTACATCCATAATAAAGTTGTTGTTTAAATAAAAATAAATTAATAGACCGTAAATATAAAATCCGCGAAAAGTATCAATCTTCTGTATACGTAATGTAATTACAACACAAACGCACTAAAACACGTGTATTTGGGTAAATAAATTCCGTTGAGCAATTATTTTATGTAAACCTGTCAACTAATTGGATAATTAATTACAACTCTAATCATTTATCAATTAGAATGGGGACAGGTGAGATTTCCCACCGTTCAGTAGTAATTAATTAAGGCGCAAGAAATTAATAAAATTTTTTGGATTGTAATTAATCAAAGCCGGGACTTGATTAAGGTGTCACAGTGGAATAAAAAATCGTCGGTGACATTCGAAATTAATGCTACAAGCGTAGCCACTTCGGAAGTTGTTAGAAGAACGAAACAAAACAAAAGCTGAAAGGGATGAAATAACAATTACGGTTTTCAGTTATTTTACTTAATTTACGATCCTCCCCTTTAACTTTGTTGATCAATTTACTATAAAATCTTTAATTGATCCTGTAAACGCTTGTAAAAAACCTTCAAATCTGAATACTGCTTTTGTTGAAGCTTGAAAGTTGAAATATCCTAAACGCACCACCACCGAAATAATACATTTTATCACGTTTTCCCTCGTTCTTAGTTAATTCGTGCCTTGATTGCCCTCTTTGATATCAGCATTTGACACTTATTATTAAGGGCACTGATTGCTAGTTTGCATGCAACCCTCATGTTACTACACTAAAAAGAAACTAAACTTTTGAGTTTGTCCCCTACGCCTAAATGCTCATCATTTTCAGTTAGGAGACATTTAATCCGCGAGGAATACGGCAATTAAAGGAAATGAGTGATGCTCCTCTTATTTAAGAGCTTCTACATTAATTACCGCAAACAATTCCAGCCATTTTCGGTATTTCACGCCTTTTAACGTACAAGTAGGATGGGAGCGCCTTAAACGTGCAATTTTCTTTAAAACGTTTCATAAACGTTATTCAATTATTAAATCATATTCAGAATTTAAACACACTCTTGTTCTAAGAAAGGTCTTAAAAGCCTTGTAATGAGTTTTACGTATAATTCTCCCGTGTCATTTCTGATGCTGGACTTTTATTTTTCAAACCTTCATGTGAGAGGCGGTACTAACTTTTCTTAAAGAAAAAGTCATTTCGGGTTTTCTTAAAACTTTGTTTCTGTTTCAGATCTACCCAAGGAGGATCCTGTTATAACAGGAGTCGAGCTACAGTATCAAATCGGCGACGAAATTAACTTAAACTGTACATCGGGGAAAAGTCATCCTGCTCCCGTTCTTCATTGGTACATCAATGAACAGCAGGTGCCACTACATTTTGTACAATGATAATAACAATAGTTCTGGAGTTGATAGTAGAATATCAACATCCTACCTCCCCCCCAGATGGAGTACATTTACTCCCTTCTCCGGTTTGGGTCGCGGCCTGGGCATTTCCCAGTTACGTAACTAAGAAGTGACCTTGTTTTATGGTGCAAGGTTGTGCCCTGGGATTTCCTCGACCTTTGTGAAAGAAATACAGAAAGATATTAAATTAAATTGAAATTGGATGATGATTCTACCATTTCTCCAGAACTCGTAACATTTTGAGGTTTTAATTAAATAAAATTGGCAGATTTATTTTCGATCTTTAATTTCATTAGAGGTATGATTGTAGTTTTACTTTTAATCGGTGAAAATAATTCGTGGAATCATGTTCCGATTGATCGATTATGTTTTGCGGATTTAATTGAATTCAAAATTTTGGTCAATTCATTAATTAATTAGTAAGGATACGTGTTAACGCGTCTGTCAACGATTGAAGACTAACAGGAATTAGAAAGTACTTTCTTTATAGTGTAACTGAGAATGTGATTTTCCAAACCACTTTCTCTCAGCGTATTTCAAATGCATAGTAGAAACGATTTTGTGTAAAAGACTGTTATGTAAAGGTGATAATGGTGTTTTTTTTAAATCCGTATCCTTGATGTCAAGTGTTCTTCTGGTTATGTGAGCACGTTATGTGTTATTCCAGATGGTTTAACAACTTCCTCGTGTTTGTGGTTAAGCATTAGTGTATCTGAGTGACTGTATCGTCAACATCCCCGTGTTACAATGTACAATGTAGACAGAAAGATTTTAATTACTCTTTTTTAAGGACCTATAAAATTAAATTCGAAATTTGTTGCAAGTTCTGCAACGCAAAACTACAGTCAAGTTTTTATTCACATTTCTGTCATCGTGACATTTCATATGATCATTACCTCAAAAATTGGGAAATTTGTGAATAAATTCTCTAAATTTTTTTTGGTCGCGTTGATCAGGAATGTTTATAACTTCTTTGAAAAACGGGGAGGATACAAAGAACATATCAATGAAATCAAATACGGAAATAATGATTCATTCTTCAACATTCAACAATAACCAAGATCAATTAAATAAATGTAAATTAATGGTCCCCTCGCAATACAAAAATATACCCCGCTCACAGAAAATAAACCCTTATACAGGGTGAGTTTTTTTTCATTTCAAGCATTGGGATCTCGGAAACCATAAGACATACGGATTCGGTTAAATGAGGAAAGAGTTGTCGTTTTAAGAACTTATTTAAGATATGCTTTTGTTTTTTGAAAAAAATCCACAGTTCACTAGATATGATGATATTTAGACATTTTAATGATTAATATGATGAACATACTAATTTATTTTTAAATCTTACATTTTTTGAGTAATAATACAAACTTTAATTTTTTTAATGATAGTCATAGTTGGCTTTGACATTTTTAAAAAGGACAAATTTTTCTCTTTATAACGATATAAGGCTTTCTAAATGTACTTTAATAAATAAACGCCCTGCAGTAATTTTCGTATTATTGAGAGGTATAAGTAAACAGAGTTGGCATTGGAAAACAATATCTAGTGAGATAGGTACCTTTCATTTACGTCGAAAATTGGACAGGCGAATGTTATCTTCAATTTCTACCAAATGAATTTCAAGATATGTAGGATGGGTTAGATTTGGAAACACGACGTAATTTACGCTGGTTTCAACACAACGGTGCCCCGCCGCACAACTAACTGCAAGTTAAATATTATAATAGACAGTAATTAAGAGAACAAAAATGTTTCCCATGGCAAAATCTGTTTTTACTACTCTTAATAATACAAACAGTTCTGTATCATGTTTATTTGTCAAAGTAAGTCAATGAACCCTATATAATTGTAAACAGAAAAAAATGCATTTTTTAAAAATGTCACAGCCAACTATGATTACCATTTAAAAAAATGTAAGTTTGCGTTATAACTCGAAAATTACAAAAGAAGAATAAATATTAATAAATGTATCTTATTAAGCGGAAAAAAATCTACAATTTTTGTTCTTTGCATATTTCTGTATTTCCACTACCAACGATTCTACAACAGTTAAATGAAAAATCACTAAATCTGTTTTTCGCTCCTATCTAGTAAACTGTGGATTTTTTTTAAAAAAACAAAAGAATATTTTAAATAAGCTCTCAAAACTACAACTCTTTCCTCATTTAACCGAATCTCTATGTCTTACGGTTTTCGAGATCCTAATGCTTAAAATGAAAAAAAAACTCACCCTGTATAAAGATTCGGGAGTTGGCTTTGCTAGAATAATCTAATGCTCGTGTACTGCCCCCGTTCTTCTCCACAAATGTTGAGCATTGCCCTTAACGCCATACATTTCAAGAAAAGACCATCGAACCACAAATCCGGTGGTGTATGATGTATTTCTTAGAAAGGGAAGATCGGAGTATCCTTTCCCAAAAACTATAATGAGTGTCTCTATGGCTGAATTCTCTTATAATATTGTAGTTGCCTGGAGGATATAGACTACTCCCAAGTATATAAGGGACGCCAAATTTGGCTAGAATCGGAAATCATTCTTAGCATGAAGATGGTAACCCCACACTGAAGATTCTCTTCGTGATTTAACACGTACAAAACGAGGTGATGACCAAAATCCCTCTTTTGAGCACTTAGTTGTCGTCCTCAGATTACAAATTCCGTACTCCCGATTGATATTCATGCACAAAACGAGTAATTAGTAAAGTAAAAAAGTAGGGAAATTGAACATTAGGGCGAGGCGAGGAAAGATTACAAAGAAAAAGTGTTTGAACTGTTTCCCAAGGCCTAGAAGGCGACAATCATGGTTTCTTAGCACCTTTCATTAAAAACTGTCACTTTAAATGTCTTTTGTAATGCGGAAACTCGTCCACGCCATCACAAACAACCTTTTCGGCTACCTGCGCCTACATCGTTGAATAAATGCGCATTTGCCATATTGTAAAGTATAAAATGGTTTTACTTTGTTTAAAAAATAAGGGTGGATTTCTTATAAAAGCAACTTGGAGTTCTTTATAACCGCAGTCCCTCATGAAATGGCGATGACATATCGACTAAAAATAATCCCACGTATTTTTTTGTATTGCCACCCTTAGCCATTACAGCCGAAATAAAGTACAACCGTAAGAAAAGCATTGGCGAAAGATTTGATACAAATAAAAATGAATTGCTTTTACGTTCCTTAATCCATAAAACTCCTTCAGAAAAGTGTATAAAAATAAGCAATAAAAAGGCGCGCCGGCGAAAATGGAAATTTTTAATAAAGCTGACTTTATTAATTTCAGGTTGCGAGTCCCGAAGCTTTAATTTACTATCCGCAGGTACAGCACCGGCACGGTTTGATGTCGGTTACGCTCGGCTTGAAGTTTTCCCTCAGTAGTCGGCACTTCCTGGGGGGCTCTATGAGAGTGAAATGCGTCGCATCCGTTTCACCGGTCTTGTGGAAGGGGGACAGTGAAAGTGTTGTCGAAAGTCTGGCCGTTAAGGATATGAGGGAGGCTTTACTTCTTGGTAAGTAAAATCGTCTTAGCTCCTAGCAAGAATCTATTGTGCCAGTTTTAAAATATAGTACGAAGTGCATACAGAAAAGTAATATCGAAAAATTACAATTTCTTCTTCTTGCATTTCAGCTTTTACTCTTCAAGGCTTTCCTTTTTTCGTTTCTCTCCTTAGTTCATAAAACCTGCCTGGACCCTATGCCCTTATGGTTCAGCTCTTACCATCAGACATCTGCTCTCGTACAATTAAGATCCAAGTTATTTTAATTCTTTAGCATTTTTCAATTCCTCTTCCATACCCTCCAGACCTTTGGGAGTTATATCCTTAGTTTACTACTCTCAGATAAGAATTTGAGATGGTTTTCTGTCAAAAATGATCCTGGAACACGTCCCAGCCCATCGGAGATCATACAAATGTAACCTCATTTTTTCTGGGAAATTCACATAATGAGACAAAAAGTTGACCTGAAAATAAGACACGGTGTTATAACTTTTGATTGAGAAGTCTGATCGAAAAAGTACGAATTGATTTGGATTCTACGCACCCAAATTGATAAGAAAAAGTGTTTTCCCGAGAAATTTTTGTGTAGTCGTTTTTTGGTAAAAAAGGAAGGTTATACATAATGATCGACCCATTTTCTTATAGAAGTGTAGAACCTCAAACAGTTCCAAGATTGGGCTACTAGTTCAAAAGTTACAGCCCGAATTTTTTTTCGAAATTGGTTTCTAATCTATAACTTTTGATTGAGAAGTCTGATCGAAAAAGTACGAATTGATTTGGATTCTACGCACCCAAATTGATAAGAAAAAGTGTTTTCCCGAGAAATTTTTGTGTAGTCGTTTTTTGGTAAAAAAAGGAAGGTTTACTGTAAAATTACGGTTTTTTTCAAAAAAAGGTAAGTTACATAAATTACATAAAATACATAAAAAACATAAACAATTGGCAATTTTACACGTAATATTACGCACTTTAAAAAAAACGTGTAATTTAACATCACTAGGTGTTCATCCTTGCGCCAATAATTAGGATCCATTTAAACTCCAACGCGTTGTGTAAATTTAATTATTTAATTGTACGTATTTGTTTGTAAGGTAATATTGTAGGTAGTTCATTACTGTTTATCCTACTTAATTTTCTGATTTACCGAGGATCGATATTAATACGGTTTTCCTTTGTTACAGTCAGAAGCTCGGGATATAAAGTAGAGACTTTACCTGGAATTTTCCTAATACTCATACCTGCATTACTTCTTTGTGCAAGATTGAACTTAAATTGAAACGCAGTGTTCTGTGTAGTGCTTACATTTCCAGACCCACCCCCCGGTTCCCATCTTTAATGTTTCCGACGACCTAACTACAAAACAGACTTTTTCCGTTTAGGTGCATAATTTTAGATTATGTGTTTACTTCCATTTTAGCTAAAACTGAAAATAATGAGAGTCTGGTTTCCAGCAAATATTTGTTCGAAGTTAGTTAATGTGATTTTATTTAAGCGACGACCGTGATAAACGTTTAAAGTGCCCCAAAAGTGGACTGACTGGGCACTAATTTTTCATAAGATCCAAATGTTGATTTTTATTGTGACGCTTGATGACTGGAAGCAAAAATAGTTTTTCTTTGAGCTATAAAGTAGGACATTTCTAATAATTTAAAAAGAAGTTTTTGTATTTTTATAAACGGATTGATTACCGCTTCTACTTATATGTTATCGAAAGATGGCTGTTGAGCATTTTTAAATAAAACGTAATGTACTTAGCTAATACTTGAAATTTAGGTGTAATTACACAACATATTTAAAAATGGAGATGAGATGCTTAATGCACACCTGTATAAAACTTTTAGCAAAGCGATTACTACTACTATTCTTACTCATAAAATTATAGTGAACAATCAATCATTACTGTAAATGTTATGTTTTAAAATATTTAGTCATACCATTATTACTAAGTATACTAACAAAATGTACATTTTTAAATAAATAATAACAATGTTCGTAATATTTTCAACGCCTTTTTTTATTAAACATTCAACTTTCGCCAATTTTAGACGAAAATATAGCTAGGTCTTCAGGAAGTCTATTTTTCTTGAAAGGTGAGAGGTTCAGCTTTATTCGCAGGTCATCAATCACAGGAATAGTGACTCTCGGATAGCATGGTAACATCACGAATGACACGAATTTACAGAGAAGGATCGGGGTTATTATGAGGATTCCCCATGATTTTATATCTTTCTCGCTATAGCGTGATCAGAAAAATTTATTTTCAGATGGCAAAAATACTAACAGAAAAATGACAATGAGATTGAATGGCCATTTCCAAAAAATGAAGTTAAAAACGTTGGTTTAAAACCTCCCAGAGAAGTGGATTAGATCATCCTTTGTTTACACGCACTCTAAGTGACATTCGATATACCTACACGGTGTCCATTTTCGAGTGCCACTATGGGGATCTCGCTTAGCTTAGGAGATAGAAAGTTGGTTAAATGGAGGCAAAGTTGCGAATTTCCCTGCAGGATAACCATCTGAAAAGAAATTTAAAATATCATCAACAGTTCTGAAAATATCGCAAAAAAACGAAACTTTCTGATTTTCGTTTTTAATTTTTTCATGATAAACTAGTCGTACCTACTAGCTATTTCTAATTAACACATTATTCGAACACTTTTCAATAGAGATTTCGAATGTGACATCTCGTTTTAAATAACTTTTAAGATGACAGAGAAACACGTGGCAACTTTAGTTTTTCTTATGGGCGCCATTTTTAATTTTGAGATTTTAAGATTACGTCTTTTTTCTCTTTACGACGATATATCACACATGGTGGTTCAGTATCACATTTTTCCTAAAATACAATTTTTAATTTTTTGGGAAGAGTGCTTTGGAAAAACAAAACGTTCTTTTATTGTGAACAAAAGTTTGACAGTTTGATGCATATGTCCGGTTGCAGCGTTGGCATCAGGGAACTAGATGTGTTGAGAAAATTCGATTTTCATATGAACAGAATTGAACCTTCGTTTTGCAAGAAAATTATAATTCAAATTAGAACAAAATACATAAGAATAAATAATATTTTAGCAATAAAACTAGCACAAACGTAAATGACACTGCTTGAAATAAGTCAACATTTTATTCACAACAAAAGAACGTTTTGTTTTTTCATAGCACTCTTCGCATAAAATGAAAATTATATTTTTAGAAAAAATGTGATACTGAACCACCATGTGTGATATATCTTTGTAAAGAGAAAAAAAGACCTAATCTGAAAATGTCAAAATCCAAAACGGCGCCCATAAAAAAAACTAAAGTTGCCACGTGTTTCTCCGTTATCTTGAAAGTTTGCCATATTCGAAATCTCCATTAAAAAGTGTCTGAATAATGTGTTAATTAGAAATGTCTAGTATAATTAGTTTACCATGAAAAAGAAATTTTCGATTTTTTGCCATATTTTCAAAACTATTGAAGATATTATACATTTCTTTTTAGACTACGAAAATTCGCAACTTTGCCCTAATTTAACCAAGTTTCTATCTCTTAAGATAAGCGAGATCCCCATAGTGGCACTCGAAAAATGGACACCGTCTATATTCCTTACCTCTCAAACAATATTCAAAATATTTAGCATTTGGGAGTCTCAAATTCTTAAATAAACACGTTTTTGCTTTAATTTAATAGGTTTGATTGTAGAAGTAAGGGTACATAAAGTGAAGCAAATGATTGTGCATTCTAATGACAGCTGTCATTATTATTAAAAATGAGCACGAAATAAAATGAAGTTCAGAACAGAAAACAATATTGTTTCCATGGAAACGACGAGAGAACCAAAGCTTGCTATTTTAGAGGTCTAAATTAAATACCTTCGCAGGAGTTTTACAATGATCTCTGGCTTCTGCTATAAAATAAAATTGTGTATTACGACGACGGCGACCATCTCGTGAAAGTTAATTTAACATCTTTCACTCGATGATTAAAACATCCCTTTATCGTCTTGTATATTAAATAACTATTACTTAATTTAGTTGTAGTGCGTTCTACAAAAGAGGTCTGGGGGTTATGGAATTCCCATTAGTCCTTCGTATTCTGGGGGTATTCTATGCCATCCAGACCCCCCGGTACTAAGTTCGATAGCGTCTTGCCGAAAACTGTAATGAGAGCGATGAGACGGGCGTTTTTGTGGGAGAACGTAAAACCGGGGGTTTGGGCGGTTTCCCCCAGGAGAACACGTTCCAGGGAAGATTCGATGTTCCTTTTGTAAAAGTCGTTGATTATGAAATAGTAAAATGTCAACGCAACCCTTACTTGATAAATGTGATTCTGCACAGAGAGGGCAATTGACGTTATTGATCTATTTAACTTGCAGTTAGTTGTGCGGTGGGGCACCGTTGTGTTGAAACCAGCGTAAATTACGTCGTGTTTCCAAATCTAACCCATCCTACATATCTTGAAATTCATTTGGTAGAAAATGAAGATAACACTGGCCTGTCACATTTCCTCGTAAATGAAAGGTACCTATCTCACTAGATATTGTTTTTTTTTTATTGACGATTTATTTGGAGGTACATCAACCTTTGTTTTTAGCACCTTAAAACTACATTATTATTTTTTACAGTTTATTGATGAGGGCGGTCACTTTAAGGTACTGGACTGTGGCAGTAAGTGTGGCGGAGTCATTAGAATTTAGGGCTTCCTGGAGGTTGTTGGCAACTCCAAATGACCGACGAGGAGAGCGTAGGTGGGACACTCCAACATAATGTGGCCCACGGTGAGGTCAACTGCACATTGAGGACATAGTGGTGGTGGTTCTTTGCTGAAGAGATGTGCATGGGTGAGAAGGGTGTGTCCCATTCGTAGACGTGAGACGTCTTCTTGACGTCGGAAATTGTGGTAAATAGGTCTCTGGATGATTTTCCATGGCCAACTCTGTTTACTTACCTCTCAATAATACGAAAATTACTGCAGGGCGTTTATTTATTAAAGTACATTTAGCAAGCCTTATATCGTTATAAAGAGAAAAATTTGTCCTTTTTAAAAATGTCAAAGCCAACTATGACTACCATTTAAAAAAATTAAAGTTTGTATTATAACTCAAAAATTGTAAGATCTAAAAATAAATTAGTATGTTCATAATGTTAAGCATTAAAATGTCTAAAACTTTTATTCGTGTCATTTTGTTGTATTTCTAATAATAACGATTCTACAACAGTTAAATGAAAAATCACTAAATCTGTTTTTCACTCATATCTAGTGAACTGTGGATTTTTTTCAAAAAACAAAAGCATATCTTAAATAAGCTCATAAAATGAAAAAAAACTCACCCTGTATAATTAAAATGCCATTTTCTTCCTCTTTTACTGTCGACGAATGCAGAATGTGTTAATTTAATTTTTTGCAGCCAGTGCCAATACGACACGAAAAGTTCATATTCTATATCCCTAGAAACGTGTAGCGCAATTTCTTTTTTTGCACGTAACCAAAAGTTGAAATCGGAATGTTTAGATAACAATCCAGCATGCACATATTCATAAAAAAAATGATAGCGGATAGGAATCTAAATTAGAGATGAGAGTTTGTGGCCATAACAGCATGTGTCGAGGAAAACAAGTACAGTGTTCCAACAACAACGTAACAACGGTTAAACAGAGAGGAGTGTGAGAAGTTACACATGTGCGTGTTATAAATTTCGACAATTTATACCAATAAATCAAGATTTAATTTTGACTCGCAGCGGAATAAATCAAAAGTAATACGTGTGCATTTTAGAGTAACCTAATAGCCCGTGGGGGATGCTTGTTTATATATACATATATGCATATATTTATCCCAACACAAACAAAACTACTTTGCATTCTCATTGAAATTTTTCTACAAATTGTAGGGGGTAGTGCCATTTGTTTGCCTGCATAACCGCTGAAACTGCTGAATTTAATTTGTAGGTGGAATTATCTCTAACGACGTTACAGTAGAATCCCCTTTGTAGTGTATTTTCACGCGTATAGCTAAAGTTAGCGTTAGATATTAAGTCAAGTATAGGTTTCGGGAAGATAAGTTTCCATATTTCCAACAACTAAAGTACCCTTTCCCGAAGGCAATAAGTTGCAACACAAACACAACTGAAAACTGTGTTATGCTCTACACCCAGACTCTATAATGATTCGTTTAATATTCTCCTGCTGCTCTCACTGTTTGTTGTACTGTCTTTGTGGCTCGTGTTTATTTTAAATTATGTGTAAGTAAAACTAAACTTAATGGTTTACTGATGGAGGTTCATTATTCTAATTGCTTTTATGCTTTTCTAAAAGTTTGTTGCGGAAATTTATTTCTTTGCTCATTACGAAGCTCCGCCAACAGAAAAAAATAAGTCTAGGTACTTACATAGTTCGCGGCAAGAAGTTTATTGCAGACATGCAAAAAGCAAGTCATTGTGAAATTTATTTACAGACGTCTATTTGGGGGTGCGTTATTTAGCGGTTGAACATTTTTATAAAATCAAAAGCGAGGATCATAAACCAGCACACTTGATTAGTGCATGAATCCTGACATTTTTTGCATCAACTCTTCTATATTTAAATTATTTTATTATAGTAGCCGAACCTGGAGTAGTTATAGGTCGGTCGCCTCTTGGTGTTGACCTAGTAAATTAGGTCAAGGTAAAAGTCGCGTGTCACGTGGGCGGTGATGGAAAGTAAGTCGAGGAAAAGCTCAAAGGTTCATTTTTTAGGGTGTCAAATTTAATTTACAAGGGCATACAAAGTCATTTTTACGGTAACAAATTACATTTGGTTACAATGTCAATGGCCCATTTTTCTGTTGTCAAAATATAATTTGCTTAGAAATAATCGTATCGTTTACTAAGATAGGTGTAATTATCTGGCCGGCAGGAATATTTTTTATTTCAGTTAGAATTAGGCTTTTCGC